AAAAACCACACGTTTTATGCAAATTATGCCCACCTGGTTTGAAAAAACAAGTCAGTCACATCTGCATCGAATTTGAAACGACACATCGAGTTAAAGTATCAAAGCAGTTTTAGGGAATACCTTCATCTTAATGATGAGCACAAAAAAATCATTAACAAAGTATGACTATGAAAAAATAACCACAAAGTTCACTGTTAGCATAACATGACACGATTAGCGGTAAGATCGATTCTCAACCTCAGAATTGGTTTTTAATGTAACAATCTTTTTAATGAAACTCATGTCTGATTGTTCAGTGGTAAATGACAGATAGGAGAAAATCTAAGAAGGTTCAGATAGAAAGACGTTGTATTGAAAATATTAATAAAAAAAAAACGAACGAACATGAACTAGTTCATTTTTATTTGAATGCACTGAACTTTGAACTAGTTCTTTTTCAGTGTGAACTGGCACAACACTGAAAAGCAGTGTGAGAAATTTGATCACAAAAAATGAAGGACCAGTTTTAGGATTAGTGGGGGAAGTAGTTCTGGGCTGTGCAAGTCCCAGTCAGAGCAGTTCGTACATGTTGATGCCATGTGAGGGAGGTAGATTAACCTTTTCGTTATTGCCATAGAACCGGGGAAGAGAACCTGATCCATGGAGAGCCGGAGTGGGTGTGGATTTTTGGGATGACCACCCAATCAGCTGATTGGAGTCCAGAAGCACTGCTTGTTATTGGCTTGTTAGTGGAAGCTAACAGGTGGACCCTGTGACCAGAGCACGAGGAGATAAGCAATACTAGCACTTGCAGCTGAAGGTTCTCTTCAGGATAACTTGAGGGTCTGTGAATTAATTCTCCTTGTCATTGAGTATTACGGCAGATGCTAACTTGTTGAGGGATGGATTGTGTGAAAACACCAGCATTGTTTCTTCAAATGCAAAGTATAAAACTATTAGGAAAAAACGTCTGGGAAAAAGTATCAAGATTTGATCGTGGTTGTTACCTTGTTAGGCTTGTAGCCTTGAACCAAAGTGTGTTTGGGGTTTGGAATAATCGGCCAAATGATTAATTTTTATACTCTAAATAAAGAAACAGAGCACATATGCTTTTTAGACAGAAACAGGATGAGTTCCAATATCTTAAATTTCTTATCTTCCTGTCAGGACATTGCATAACATTACCCCAAATTGACAAAAACAATAAACAGTGTATGAGCCTTCCTTCTTTGACTATCTCATCTGTAGATTTAATCGTGTCTCTTTAACACAAGGGCTGATTTACATGCAGCACGAGTCATATGTGTTATCATGTTTCTATATAATCAGGTGTTCGGACAACACTGTCCCCCCCTGATCAGACAACCTTGCCGACTAAGGGAAGGAGTCATGGGCAGGATGCCTAAGAGGAAGCACTTTTCATAAGAATTTATGACAATACAGACTGATGCCTTTGTATGTGACTTTGCTGTATTAATGAGCTCGGGGAACAACCATCCAGCTGCCACCCTCGTAGTAATGTTCCAAAGATTTTCTGGTCAACATAACCTTTATAGGGGTACATTCACAGTTCGCGGCCCCTCCTCTGAACCAGATCAAACAGATTAGGGCAGGGGGTGCACTTTGTAACACACATATGCCTTATGCAGATTGCACCTTTCAAACATGTATACTTCACGTGATCAGCATGCTGCAGGCCTGGGGCACGTGAGGGGGCGTCTATGCTTCTGCATGGCCTCTGTCTTTGTGGTGTTCCTGCCATGTCTGCTGCATGCGCTCGATGCTCAGCCTTTGTCCCCCAGTCTGCATTTCTTGTCAATTCTAACAAGTACTATGCTCCAAAACATGAGTGCAACACTTAGGCTAAAAAAGTATTGAGGTTTAAGCGTGACTGTCAGCTGTCTGTCACCCAGGCATTCTTGCAATAATGTATAAAAAAAAAAGTTCCAAAAGCAGTTTATCTAAAAGCTGTTCATTTTTCTATCACACTTACGCCTTGTACCAACACCAAACCATTACTGCAGCAATCATTAGCAAGAGGAGCAGTGCACCTATGACTATGTAGATTGTATGCAGCTGATCTGCCTGATGTTCTACACAAAGTGGGGAAAAAAGGGTTTGGAGTCACTGGGATGAGTAAATCAATGGGTTAGTTCATTAATGTCCATCATTGGTTATTTCTGCTTACCCTTTGGGGTCTGGAACTTGCTCCAGTGGCTCCAATCACTCCAGTAGCCATCAAAATAATGGCCGTTTGGTTTGCATCTGACCTTCACACAGTACTGTGTATTCTCTCTGAGGACATCTCTGGACTCAATGTGTAACTCATCTTGCTCTACAACATAAGTCTAGCGCAAAAAAAAGATTTCAATCAAACAGGCCTTTAGATATTTAAAAAGCACAGTCTCCCAATTACCCACAAAAAGCACCTTTAGCATCTCACCCTGTTGTGGCCTTTGATCTTGACTTCCCGCATTAGAACAGTCTCGAGGATATCACCCTTA